CGAAATCCGCTATCGTCAGCCGTGATTCCCATTGCGTGATTCCGAATAAAACCATTCGAGAGCATCTCCTTCGCGTAACTTGCGCATTGGATTCTCGTGTGGCGCTGTCCCTGCGTCGAGGACATCTTTTGCTCTGCTCTCAACTCAGCCTCTGCTCTCCGTGCGTATTCCTGCGATGTCACGACTTCCATTGTCTTTTTTGTGCCGCCAAGAGCTTGAATGGTATCCTCAACGAGAGGTTCGTCTCCAAAGCTGGCGGATGTAGAGGTGAGAGGAGTAGAGGTGGCAGACTGGGATACTACATATGCTATAGAGGGCAGTGTATCTGATTGTGCGCGGGAGGAAGGACCGGGGCGCATTGCTATGTTGATTCTCAGTGTTAATTTGAGCTACAAAGGTAAAATATTCTCGTACCTTTGTTCCTCAATATTCTCTCAGACCTCCTCAAGTGTCCTGAGCCTGACTGTGACATGGAATGAGCTTTGACCTTCTTATTGGGTCTGACCACCGGATCTGCGGATATCTGTTGTATCTTGCTTCCACGAGACTGATAAGGACTTACTGGTGGGATCCTCTTCAGTTGACCTTGGCCGTTTCATTGACTGCGACTGCGAAGGACCTGCTTGTGAAATAGTCGATAGCGAAGGGCCTGCTGCTGTTCGTGAACCCTGTCTTGATCCACGCCGCGATCCTTTCGCTACCGCCGACTGGGATGATCCATTCCTTGGTGTTTTAGTCCCCTCTGCGAATGGTAAGTTAAAAACAATTTCATGGAAGCATTGATAGTCCTGGTAATATACCTGCTTTACGGATGCTCATTCCAATAAAATTCCCTTTTCGGTGCTTGACCTCCACAAAGTACAGCAACAATCCCCAAAACACACCGACAATCTTCTTATTCTTTTCAAGATAATCCGATAGTTCCTCGCCTTCAGTGAGTTTGAGAAGCTGAATGTAGATACCTCCCAGATCTGGTTTCCTTTCTATTCGCGAACCCAAAACTGGACGAGGATCTTGGACATAGAAGATTTTCTCGTTTATGTCAATTCCTAAGCGGCCTTCCTCTCCATCCGAGTCTTTCAAAACGTTCAAGAGATTTGCAAGGGGTCGATACAGCTGCGTCTCGTGTCCTGCAGCACCCTTTCGCTTTTTCCCTTCCGCTTCTGCCACACCTATCGCGACCGACAGATATGCTTCGAATGCGTCTTTCACCGCATCGCTGTCGAGCTGCAGCGCAATTTCCTCCTTGACCTTCCAATCAACCGGAAGTTCGAGGATGAGGGTCGCGAAGTCATCGAGAGACAACACAACACTGTCGCCGATATCATCTTCGAGGAACTTGTTGACGACAGAGGCACGTTGGGGAACTTCGTCCTCAGCGTGGCTGGCGTATTTCTTACTCGTAGGAGTGCTCTCGACAACAGGTGGACCATTAGCCTGCTTTGTCTTGGGAGTTTGGGGAAGAGGAGCTGGATCTGGGAGAGGATTCTGTGGTAAGGGCTCCATAATTCAGTGAGGTGTTCGTGTAGGAGAGAGTTCAAGGCTTGCGAAGTGCTTGGACAATGGATAGATGCGCTTAAATGGCTGGCATGTAACGATCACATGACGTCAATGCCAAAGCGCGCCACGCATTTTCTATCTATTGTTCTTCTGTTCCAATTTTGGTATGTAAGTTTGGTTTAGGTCAAAAGAAGTGTCCGAATAGCAGAACGCCACCTAACCTTCCACTTTCGGGTCTGTGCTTTCTTGGTGCTGGTTGTGAAAGATCATTGATCAACGCCTGATGACAAACGACAGATGGAACAGTCGCAGCCCTGGGAGCGAGCCTTGAAAGTGAAAATTCTAGTGCTCCATGATCTCCCTGAGTGGACCAAGGAGTCTAGTGAACGCTGGTGCGTCGAGTGCAGCGACTTTGAGTTTCGGACCTATTTTCTTGGGAGTCGAGGACGAAGACGATTCCTCATCAACCGTAGCCGCCCTGGGCGCAAGCCTCAAAAGCGAAAGCTCTCCAAAATAATCCCCTTTCGCAAGTTTCCCAACAACCATCTAACCTCCTTCTCCATCTTTCGAAACGTTCAAGAGATTTGGCAAGGGGTTCTTTTGCTTTTTTTCCTTCCGCTTCTGCCACGCCGATTGCGACCGACAGAAACACTTTGAACACGTCTTTTATTACTGTTCTGCTGTCAAGCTGCAACGCGATGTCCTTCTTGACGTTCCAATCGACTTGGAAATTCGAGGATGAGGGGTCGCAAAGTCATTGAGAGACAACACAACACCGTTGCCGATATCATCTTGCTTGTTGATGACAGAGGCACATTGGGGAACTCACTGATACACACTTGTTTTTAGCACATTTGCCACTATGAGAATCACCCCCCCCCTGGGCTTTGGTGTTTCGATTCAACGCACCTTTGGGTTGTTGGCTTACATCTTGACACGGCCCCTCAGTCAGCATATGGATAAGTCTCGTCTCCGGCCTCGGCCTCCGCACCACCCCAGGGGTCAGTGTTCTCTCTCCTCGTCTCCAACTCGCATTGGCCAGTTTTACAGTATTATCGTAATTTTACATTTCGCACAAGCGCTCGACGCTTGATGATACAAAAAGAAAGGTTCGACATTGGACTTGGGCTTATATAGCTCATGATTGTTTTCTCAAGAGACGGAATGTGAGGACTTGGGATAAAGGAACGATTTTTTTTTGGCTGTAGTACCAACGTATGTGTATCCTATCCTGTACTGTGACCCTTCCCCTCCCCTCTCCGTTTCTCACTGCAGTCTACTCTACTGTCCCTGTCCCTTGTTAGATGAGTCAGATCATGATAAATAAATTTCCGTAAATAAGAAAAGGGATTTCTCTTCGAAACAAGGAAAAAAAAAAAAAAAGGTATAAAACACACTCACCTTTATAGCGCTAACGTCCATAAAAAACGAGTCCTTGTTGTGATCAACCCTCAAAGTTGCACGACACGGACACATCACTCGGCCAACCTTGACTGCGGATAGGATTTTGATGCTGAGAAGCTCGGGATTACCGATGAGTCTAGGACTGTCTGGGTTCCTACGAGGTTTTCCATGCGAGTGCTCTTCTAGCAAAAAACCTCTGTTGGAAAAAAAAAAAACCAAGGATATGAAATACCACACACCTTTTTAGAGTTTCTCAAGGGAACGAGGACCGCATTCACCATGCACTGGGCGGCGAGGCCCATGATGATCAGGTAGGTGGCGACACGGAAGTGCATGGATTAATGGTTGGGGTTTGAGAGAAGGGGGTTACGGGACGGGGACTCGAAAAAACCAAACAAGTTGGATTCAACTCAAACTTTGGAGGGCTTTAGACCCCCGAGAGAACTCTGAGACAAGAAAAAGACTTGAAAGCACTCATCTCTAACCATCCACGGAGGGCTTTAGTCTCGGATGCATGAATGCATATGCCACCTTGATCATCGAACACTGTCAATGTCCCAAGATTCAGAAGGTGTCCTACTAGTAACTTTTATTCATTAGAAATACATATAAGAGATTTACATGAGATAACTTTCTCCTGCTCTGCGCTCCATGATCTCCCTGAGAGGACCGAGGAGTCTAGTGAACGCTGGTGCGTCGAGTGCGGCGACTTTGAGTTTCGGACCAATCTTTTTGGGAGTGGAGGACTCGGAGGAATGTTCATCGACGGTGGGGAGAGTGCTGGGACGAACAACAGCAGAGACAGTGGCAGCCCTTGGAGCGAGTCTTAGTAGGGAGAGTTCACCAAAATAATCGCCTTTCGCGAGTTTCCCAACAACGATCTCTTCCCCATTGCCTACTCTCTTGCGTACGAGGGCTTCGCCTTCTTCTACGAAGAAAAAGGTATCCCCGACTTCACCTTGACGGACGACTTGTTCGCCGTCTTCGTAGACACGACTGACGAGGGCGTCGGCGATTTTGCTGCGCTCGCTGTGACTTAGGCCTTGGAGGAGGAGGACGTCGCGGAGGAAGCCTTCGTACATGGTGCGGCGGCGGTGGGCGGCGGCGAGGATGATGGTGCGGAAGGTGATGCGGTCGAGGGCCCAGAGGAGGGCGGGAGTGCGGGAGATAACGGTTGCTGCGCGGGGGTGGCCGTACATTAATGCGAGCTCACCGAAAGAGGTGCCAGGGGGACAGGAAGCGACAAGGGTACCGTAGAGGGGGTGAGTGGGGAGTGGCGGGGGGAATGTATCGGTGGTACTGGTGATCGTGGGAGAAGTCGGAGACGAGGGTGTAGCAACGCCTCCGAGGATATAACAATCCAACACACCACTCTCCACGACATAGAAAAACTCTCCGACATCGCCCTGCTTGATGACCTCTTCCCCTTGGGCGACACTCACCTCCCGCATCGCATCCAACACGCCCGTCTCCTGCTCCTCGTCCAGATCACGAAAGATGAAATTATTCTGGATAGAGAGTTTTATGCGTGCGAGCTGGGCAGGGGATTTATGATGAGTGGGGAGATTGGGGGGAGAGTGGACCAGATCTTCAATAGGAATAGACTCTGCGCTGACACTAGTCCTACGTGCGAATATCGGGCTATTCGGGGGGTGCAAGAAATCACCTGCACCACCAGGAAGGGGTGTCAGAGGTGCAGAAGACGCAGAGAATGGATTAGTAAACCCAGGTCGTTGACGTTGTTTTCCTTCCAAGGGATCGATCGACGAATCATCCACATACACATTCATCATTGACATCATCGATCCACGTCGACTATTGCTGCTGCTGCTGAATGACGTAGTAGTCAACGCTTCCCGAGCCCGACTCCTCTGCTCCTCCAACCGCCTCTGAAACCAATTCGCACAAAACTGCATCCCATCCGGTGGCTGTGCTCGTTCATAGTCCCGCGTTAGATCCACCAGCAGACTTCCAAGGGCAGACGACGACGAGGGTGTGTTCATGTTGTTGAACAAGGAACACCTTTTGCTTTTCTGAAATACAAGGTCATCACGTGAATTCTTGCTTTTACACCCATCAAAGAAGTAGTTGTGAATGCCGGCGTGGCGCAATGGTAGCGCGTAGCTTTCCTACACAGCAAGGCTGAAGTTGCGGGTTCAATCCCCGTCGTCGGTTATACGTCTGAAACTTGTCTGTTTCAATAATTCTTTTTGTAACTATGATAGTATGTCTACACTTCACTTTCACCCATCCATGGGTTTAACCATGTTATTCACCTTGATCTAACCACCTCCCAATTCAGCTCAAGTCAACTCACTCCATGAACCGCGCTGACATGCCTAAATTTTGGCTAGACATCTATTAGTGTTACGATCACTTCTTTTTCATCTTATCTTTTTCCTTATCTCTTGTCTTATCTTTTATCTTTTGTCTTATCTTCTATCTCCCTTATCCTATATCTTGTCTTATCTTGTCACCTGACCTATTATTTATGCTTACTGATACAACATGCACTTTTCATTTACTTATATTAAATACAGCAGTCTCACAACACGTATACAGCATGACGATCGAGCTTTCATTACTTACACATTGCTTTACTTATGTTCTACTCATGTTTACCACTAACCCAAGGCATTGGGCATTACTAGGGCGGAGGGTTGTTTACTCGTATATAAGCTGTAGTTACTTGCTGTATTTCCTTAGCTTTGATCTCGTCTATTCTACCTGGTTTAGCCCAGAACTTTGCTTGTTCCCTTTATCACCCCGCCGTTTGAGGTTTTCTTGAGTGTGATGCCTGGTGACATCCATTACTAGAACCAGTCGCTGACAGAAGATCAAAGCTATTCTTACCACCTGTCACACGCTACGCAATCATATCCCTATCACAGTTATCCTCGCTCACATTTTTACCAACCCTTCACAGACTTCTACTCTCTCTTCAAGCAGTGTTGCCTATAGTACAAAGGTGTAATGTTGAGTCCGACACCATACTGGCAGACGAAAGCGTCGACTGATCACTAATCTTTGGAGAGGGGTCTTCGCATGCACATCGAGCTCCATTCCTAGACAGGGAGGGTGCATCTGTTCATCAATCGAGAGTGGAAGGCTGCTTCCCACATCATCGTACTCTTCTTTCGAAATCTTCCCCACATTACTCCCGACTTCTACGAATCCAATCATACATTTTCCCATCATCACCACCGAGTTGCATTTGTAACTCGTCTTCCTTACAACAGATTTTACCTCAAGAATAGGATGACCTAGACTTTCGGTACAAACCAATCGTTACCGCACCCCCGATTTATCCGCTCCATCCACTTCATCTTCAATCGAACGAAACATCACCTCATTCATCCCCACTTACATACCACCCAACTACAGCATGTCTGATCCTATTCCTGCTCCCGTTACCACTTCCCAAGTCCATGGCAAGTCGTTGCTCAGAGAACCTAGTATCTTTGATGGCGATAAAGCCCAGTTCAAAGAGTGGCGCCGTACCCTCTTCGCCTATATTCATGATCCAAGGAACAAGGTCACTATAGATAACGAGAGAATTGACATTGCGATCTTGTACATGCGAGGTCCCAAGGTCAGCAGTTGGGTTCAGAACTATACGGACGATAACTTCAATGATAACGAAGAGGAATGGAAAGTCACTTGGAAAGGATTCAAGGACACATTGAATGCCTCCTTCCTAGACAAAGGACTTACAGAGAACGCACAGGAGAAGCTAGAACATCTCCACCAGGGCCCCAATGAGAGGGCAGAGGATTTCTTCAAGGAGTTTGAAGTTATCATGCGAGATGCCGGATATGTCAAGGATGCCCCCTATGTCATCAGGCTGATTGAGATGAACATAAAGCCAAAGCTGATCAATCAAGTATACAGTACCAGTAATGAGCAAATCGAGAAGTTCGATGAGCTGAAACAAAAGATTATCAGCATCGATGACATGTGGTGGCGTCGTGAAGAAATGCGACGCAACTGGTCAAACAGATACCAGCGGAATGCCGGGCAGGGACCTAGTAACCAGAAATGGCAACCTCAAACGACACAGGCTCCTGTAACTAAAGCTCCGACCCCTGCAGTACCCACCCAGGATAGGAAAGATGGTACTGGAACCACTTTCAAAGGCGCAGGCAGACCAATGGACATTGACGCTGCGCATCGCAACAGAGAGTGCTTCCATTGTGGTAAGCAAGGCCACATTGCGAAATTCTGTCCAGAGAAAGCACTGAAACCGCAGTTTGTCAGAGGCATGTGGAGCCAAATGACACAGGAAGATCAGGAGGCTATGGCCAAGGAATTGGGTTTTTTCCTGCCCCAGCACTAGATGCAGGTCTGCCGGGGCCAATCTCAGAATCAGTATCGGACTTTTTGTCATCGTCATATGTAGACAGTCAATTTAGTTTTGAATTCGGTAGTACTGGTACACCCAATGAAAATAACTTATCTACAAAGATGAACCGAACTGAGGAAAAACCTGTGAGATATGAACCAAACACACCTGAATGGGTGGCGCAGCGGTTACAAATGGACAAACTCCCTATGGCTATAGGAATCCTTAGAGCCTGGATGCCTGAAAGTCGTGTCAGAGAAGCATTGGAAGAAACGGTAACGAGCTTGCCTCGTTTTTGTGTGAAAGAGAAAGGAAGGAATCTAATGGGCACTCCAACCAACCAATCTAATACACAATATGTGAGTTCACTGCTATCAAATTTATTTGATAGCAAGGGGTAGTGTTGGCAAAGGTTCCGCAAAGCTTTGAGAGCTAAGTAAGAAGCTTTAATCAATCAATTTGAATCGTTCTAAGGATTCGATATATTCCTTTGATCAAGGTAGATTCAGCACGATTTGTGCTTGAGTTGTATTGATTTGGGTATATCAAGAATTGGGGGTTCGAATCAAAGTAAATTAAAACCGAAACACACAGACCCCTACGGAGGGCTAGAACTATGTGCTGGCACAACCACACAGCGTGATTTGCCCTTAAGACCAACAACTGATCCTAAGTTTGAAGAATACCCAACAACTGGATATACTTCTCGCGGTCACAAGGAGCAGAACACGATGTTCCTATACTCACAAGTGCCGGGCCCGAATGGCTGCTAGCGAAGAGGTTTCAGTCTGGCGGGAGTGTGTCTTTCCTTTTTACGGATTAGCACTGCAACGTCGTCCCAAAATCACTTGTATTCCAGATACATCGGATCGCTATTTATACATACAGAATATAGAGTCACACAGTACAATTAATTTAATACAATAAACGTTCGGAACCGCCAGGAAACTTCTACAACCGGTCAGATACTATTTAATTTTGAATCTTCATGTCCTTATTTGGTCCACAATGGTTCCAAGATTCAAGTATACCTCCAAACATAGGTAGGTACTTCGTTATTCATTTAATTTAATTGTTTTGGACAATGACTCGAATAGTGTTCAACCGTCACTGCGGTTTAACACTTACTTCGATCGTTTGTCACCTCGTCCGGAGGCAAATCAGCTCTCCTCGATTCTAATCCTATCAATCTGATTCATCTGGATTAAACTAATTGCTTCTCTCTTTCAATAGACACCTATTGTGCCTATACTCTATCAAGGGAGTTACGCATAGTATTCATTTAATTGCATTCTTCAATATTTTCTACGTCAGGACTCTTTGACATTCATTTGATATGTTTTCGGAGCCTTGCAGTACTTCAATCGTTCTTCTAGTCATTTTCCTTAACCATGCAACCTGATTGGTCTATTAGACTAAATCGTAGTCTTGTAGATTAATGCATGATCTCGTTCTAGAAGGAGTATTTTGATAATTCCTGAGTTCTAGAAAGTCATTTTGAGTCAATCCTCGGCTCATGGTCACTTGAGTAAGTTCTTCCAAACTCCTGCCAGTGTAAGGTCCAATAAGAATACCCTTGGTATGTCATACGTGAATGGTCATCCTTTGGATGTAGTCCGAGTCTGGTATAATCCTGCTTGACAAACAGGTAGACCGCTATCCAAAAGTAGTATCCAGGATGGGTAAACTAACCAACTTGTGGTAGTATGGGTATATGGTCCCTTCAACTTATTAGACTGATTCAGTATTGACTTTGACTGGCAATCTGGGTCTCAATTACAGTCCTCTTGATATGAATCTATACATGAAAATGTCACAATTCACAGCATAGATGTCTAGCCAAAATTTAGGCGTGTCACCGAGTCATCGTCAGAAAGGTTCTTGATATCCTAAAAGCCAACAAGCTATACTTGAAACCTGAAAAGTGTACCTTTGAGGCTAGAGAGGTCAAATATCTCGGAATCATCGTAGGCAATGGACAAATCCGGATGGACCCAAAAAAGGTTGAAGCAGTTCAAACCTGGCAGCCACCAGAGAAAAAACGTGAACTACAATCGTTTTTAGGGTTTTGCAACTTCTTCCGCCGATTCATCCGAGATTTCAGTAAAATTGCCAAACCCCTAACACGACTCACAGGGAATGCGACTTGGGAGTGGACATCTCTTGAACAGGATGCATTTGATTGGTTGAAGGACCGGATCATCAAAGACGTCACTCTCATTATTCCAAGAGAAGCTGGAAAGTTCCGAGTTGAAGCCAATTCCTCTGACTACGCTAATGGTGCAGTTTTGTCACAGAACGTCGACGGAAAGTGGAGACCAGTAGCTTTCAGGTCCAGGTCACTCAATGAGGTTGAACGGAAC